ATTTATTTACAGGAAAAAGCTCTGAAATTGATATGCTTGACAACAAGAAGTGACATGCCTTTTTATTCCTATCTTAAACCACTCACACCATTTCATTAAAGAGCAATAGTTCAATTCTTAAAAGGTTAGAAAAAATGCAATTCCAGAATTTAAACTCAGTGAAAGAAAAAGGTGCTGATTTATCCAGGATTGGCTAGAAATACTTTGCCAGGGGCTGGCCCCTAACCGCAAGTCCTGCTCTAATGCCGGATTTTTGCATTTTCATTTGAACATTTTTTGTCTCTCACTGAACATTTTTAGAAGTACATGTTGCTTCTTTCTTTTATGACAATTGCCTTATAATTTGTCAGAGGCCAATAACTCGTTGGTTGTAAATCACCAGCATCCTCCCATCCTGTTCTCTCACAGAACCATTCGTCAGGGATGGTCTCTCCTGCCTTTTCCTCCTTCACTGTCAGACTCTTCAGATTAAGATGAAAATATCCCCAGTAACTCCGAGTCCTTCAGAGAGTTCTCTTCAGCAGATAGTAGAGCCTGGTTACTTCTGGTTTATATAGTATGTTCTCAGATTATCATTAAACTATGAGCTGCTAAATTATAACAAACTCCCTTTCAGGACTTAGAAACACTTGAAAAAGTAACACCTAACCATTGGTCAGGCCAGATATGCAGAAGGCTCCCCTACTAACAGTTTTTCTGGGAGAATAGGGCCTGGTTTCTTGCATTAGGAGAAGAGCACCATGATTTGTTGGCATCAATGAACTCTTCTTAGCATTTTTAAGTAACGCATTAGTCTTGCAAAAACATTAAGTTATGGTTATCTTTCCTCCTCAGCCCCAGTGAAAAGTGATATTTAGTAGGATAAAGACAAAAACTTTTCTACATAATAATGCTGAACCCATATAAGATAATCGACTAGCATTAGCAAGTGAAGAAATGGTTTGTCTTCAGAAGCTTCATTGCACAGAGTTGGAACTAATCCTCGACATTCTCCAGCCCCAGGTTACATGATGAGGACTTGGTGTTTTGTACTATTCATGGGCATCACATCCTGCCACCAGCTAATGAGATTTTTTTTATCAGATCATGAGCAATGCCTGCAGTTGTGGGCTGACAGGGTGGTAGGTGAGAGTGCAGAGACATATTCTAAGATTTCAACAGCCTTTTGGCAACGAAACCAGATATTTTTAGCAGATATATTTTGGTGTCTGGCCCAAGGAGGAAGTTAAATTTAGTACACTTCCTGCTAGTCATTACATAGGCAGGACCTCTGGGGTCTTGAATTAGTCACAATCCTTTCTGTCTCTCTGTGGATTCCCTTCTTGTCATCCAGGAGGAGATTTGAGGAGCTCCAGTTTCCGGCTTGATTTGTCACTACAAATCCTAGGAACTCACCAGGAATGATAATGACTGGATGGCATGTGGATGTGCTTTCTTAGTCTCAACCCTGGGAATGTTAAGAATGTCACAGACTGGAGTGTGTGTGTGTGTGTGTGTGTGTGTGTGTGTGTGTGTACATGTGTCTGTGCCTGGTAAAGAATACAAAGTACTTCTCAGACAGTGGTTTCCCTCACAATGTTCTGCAGGAATGGAAAGAATGTGATACCTTGCGTTGGATCTGGGAGGATCAGATCTGTGTGTTGTGAGGCCTCCCAAAGAGAAGTGGTTCTGGAAAAATCGGGAAGAACATTTAAGGCAATAGGCCTGACATTTCCACATGGCCCATGACATTTCCACAAGCCGACGGGGTTATTTGTCAGAGACACAGGATCCCTCAGAGCAGATGGGCTGCAGCCAAGGGGAATGAGACTCTTCTAGAGAATGTATTTAACGGTAGATTGTGTGGTTTGATCACTGTATCACTGTATCATTGTCATGCCATTGGTTGTCAAATTACTAGAGCAGGCACTGGTAACATCTCTATTCCTCCCAGCCCAGAAATTTTAGCAGCCTCTTCTTACTCATCTTTTCCCAATGATTGGAAGCTCTTTCAGGGTCAGGGGAATGAGACCTATTGTCATTACTGTATTTTGGCATATCGAATACACCATGAGGAGCCAGGTTCTGCCCATGTGGGCCAGGCTCCCCGAGAGGCATAAATGAGTAGGAAGTGTGTAAGTGTCTAATAATGTGTGGGTTAGATACCATCAAAAATTACAGAGGCAGACTCTAGAGAAAATGGCCCAGAATTGTGCTTTTCTTTCTTTCTTTCTTTCTTTCTTTCTTTTTTTGTTTTTTTTGGGTCACATCTGGTGGTGCTCAGGGGTTACTCCCTGGCTCTGCACTCAGGAATTACACCTGACGGTGCTTGGGGGAACACATGGAATGCCAGGGATGAAGCCTGGGTTGGCTGTGTGCAAGGCAAATGCCCTGCCCATTGTACTATCTTTCCAGCCCCAATTGTAATTTTCTTTATGGGCAATTCCTGGCAGTGCTGAGGGAAACCTGAAGAACTGGAGCTCAAACCTGGACCTCTTGCATGCAAAGCATGTGCCCAGCCTTTGCGTCATTTCCCTGGCCACCAGAAATAGATATCTACAGATGTCTATTAAGATATATAGTTTGGTTTTGGACCACACCCAAACAGCAGAACACAGGGGTTACTCCCCAGTTAATGCTCCAGGGTAGCTCCTGGTGGTGTTTGGGGGCTATGTGGTGCTGGAGATTGAACCCAAACTTTTGGCATGCAAAGCATTGAGCTCTTTCTTCAGCCCAGGAATGTATATTTTAACAAGCACCCCCCAGTTGTTTTGTTATGTGAAGATGTTTGGTAAGTCCTGCTTCTCGTGGCTTGTTGTGTAAGAGAACAGTAGTAGCTGAGCTGGGATCAGGTCGTTTTGATTTTACATCCTAAACATTTCTTGCATTTTTCTCTCTGTGTATCTGTCAGACACTGGACAAATCCAAGCTACGAGCATCTCTGCCGGGATCACTGTGGAGGCCTCTAAGTTGCCCTGCGGCGTTTCAGCCCTCCCATCTCCCTTTCACAGAATTGTTGCTTCAAGTGTCAGATCTGATTTTGTCTACTGTCACCCCACCCTGGGCCTCATTCCAGAAATTTCTTTCCCTTGGTGTAAGGATGAACATTCTTCTCATGGCCAGAGTTCCTTCACCCATACCCCCACAGTCTGGTCGCACAACCTTGGTCCTTACTGACAGGTCTACCCTCAGCCCCAGACACACTCACACCCCTTCATTCTGCCCTTCTTGAGGTTCAGCTGTCATCACTGCTGAGGGACAAGGGCCTTCCCAGTATGTCCATGATGCACCCCCTTTGACTTGCAATTTCAAATGGATGCATGTACTCTGACAGAGTCCATCTCTGTGAAGAGTGGATTTTTCCAGAAAGATGGGTGCCATATATCTTCATTATCACAGGCCCAGAGGTTAAGTATTAAACTCTAAATGCCATCCTCTCCTCCTTCTGGTAGATGGCAACCAGACAATCTTATGTTACAGAGAAGACATAAAGTCCTGGAGTGGATCAGAGCTTTGTAAATAAAGCCAGGACTTCTTTTCTTTCATCATTTGTTCATTCTTCAGAGCCATGGAATTCGGGGCCAATTGTGAGCAGGCACCATGTGTCCTTCCGGCAGCGCTCAGAGGACCAAATCAGGCGGTCAAACCCAGGTTGGCCATATGCAAGGCAAGTGCCCTACCTGCTGTACTATCTCTCACCCTCACCCCCCACCTTTTCTGAACACTTTCATTTCTCTTGTAACAATGAAACAAAAACATATTGGATGTGAACTAGGAGACAGACATACCCCTTGTCCTTATATTTCTTCTCTTGGTAAAAAAAGACATTAAACATGTGACTTTAAATTTATGAGCCTTCTTTTTTGTTGCTGGGCCATACCTAGAGATGCTCAGGAGTTATGCCTACCTCTGCACTCAGAAATTACTCCTAGTGGACTTGGGGAACCTTATAGGATGCCAAGGATTGAACCCGGGTTGTCTGAGGACAAGGTAAATGTCTTACCCACTGTACTATTGCTCCGGCCCCAAAGTTTATAAACTTTAAAAAGGCCCTCCCGTTGATCGTCGATTTGCTCGAGCGGGCCCAGTAACGTCTCCATTGGAGACTTTGTTGTTACTGTGTCTGGCATATTGAATACTCTCGGTAGCTTGCCGGGCTCTCCGAGAGGGGCGGAGGAATCGAACTCGGGTCGGCCATGTTGGCCGCTTGTAAGGCGAACGCCCTACCCGCTGTGCTATTGCTCCAGCCCTTTATTTATTGTTTATTTTATAGGACCCATTCCTGGCAGGGTTTGACCTGGCTGAGATTGAAGTTGCTCAGAGGCATGTGTGGTGCGAGCATTGGAACTCTGGCCCTTGCACCAGGGTGTATGTTCCACCACCTGCATTATGGCTCTGGCCCAAAGTTATAAGTTTTATAACAGGGGCTCTCACGGTGACACATAGAAGAGGGACCCAAGAGGGACTCCCTGATAAGGAGTAGCTGAGCCCCAGAGGATGGGGCTTCAAATGGGCTCTAGGGCACTATGTTCATTTGCTTAGAGCAGCATTTCTCAACCTTTCCCTTCTGACCTTGTTTCCTTTCTATGGGTCTCCTATCCCACAGCTGGCCCCCTAGTCTTGTGTCTTGGCTCCCCATTTCTGTGATTTTCCACCTCAAGGACCCCCTTGGAGTATCCTGGAGCCCACACACTGACTTGGAATGCACTATGAAGCTGGGGTTATTGACTCGGCAGTATGGAGCACTCATTCTACCTGCTTCTCCTTCTGCATTGGAACTTGGCCTGTCTGCACACCTCATCCTCCACTGGAGGGGTTCGCAGTAGTAGCCTGTGCAGACCTGGATTCAGGACTGAATGGAGAAGGAAAACGTGGCACTGAACTCCAGAGGATGTGACCTGTTGGAGGGGACCTCTTTAGGCGAGACCTTTCTCTGAGTCAGGCATACCCAGGTCGTGAGAACTTCAGCAGCACCCCCAGAGCTCCTTGGAGCAACATTGGATTGACAACACCACCAGCAGCATCATTTACTCATTTCTTTATTAATATAGAAAAGGAGCCCAAGGCAGCTGGACCAGTAGAACAAAGCACCAGGAGTTAATACTATTCTGGTGGAAGGGTTGGCTTTACAAAAGTGAAAGGGAAGGCAGGCACTGCCCGAGTTCTGAGGCCAGGCCCAGCCCATTACCCAGAACCTAGGGGCGACAACTGGAACCAGCCTGTGAGAGACAGACAGGGGGGCAGGGGTGGGATGAGGTGGAGACCAGGAGGAGAGAAAGCGTGGTAGGGCCCAGCCACCCATCCCATGGGTGATAAAGACAGGGAGCAGGGAGCTGCTGGTTTAACGGCAGAACAAAATCCTGCCATACTAGTGGGCATGGGGGGGGGGGGGGGGTGGTGTCTAAAGACAGGCTGAAGGCCTTTCCCTTCGCTCTCCACCAGGGGCCACCTTTGCTCTACACTACAGGTGGGGCTTCAGGGCCCAAGGCACAGAGGGAGGCACAGAGGCCACCCGTTGGGAAGTATGAGGGGCAGGGAAGGAAGCACTTGAGTGTCCCCAGCTGAGGCAGCCAGGATGGAGAGGCAGAGCAGGACCGCAGCACCCCTGCCCAATGGAACTGGAATGTGGGGGGCAGGGGTGACTAGGATCCTCCCTGCGGCAATGGGGTCTGCGCAAGCACGGGGTGCCAGCAGGCCTGGCTCTCGCCTCAGCTCTCCGGGACCTGATCTGAATCACATGGGCCAGCCATGTCCCTCTGAGGTTTGAGAGGGCTTTGGAGCTGCCAGCCCGGGTTGGGGAAGGAGTTGCTAGTCACGGCAGTCCCAGGCCAGCTCTTGGTTGTGAAGAGGGTCCCAGCCAGAGCCCGGGCAGAGCTGGTATGGGATGGGGGAGCCATGATGGGAGAGAAAGCGGCTCTGATAAAGAACCTACCTCCTCAAGCTTTCCAGAGCTGGGAAAGGCAGCTCCTGCACCCAGGGGAAGAGGCCACCCTCCCTGTGGCATGGGGAGGGAACGTGGCTCAGCGCAATCCCTTCACAGCCATCGTCTGGACAACACCTGGCATGGGGACAAAGGGGTGGCATGACACAACCCTTCGTGCTCTTCCCCGGGCTGGGGAGCTCAAGGCCTCACAAGGCTGCTGCTGGCCCTGCGTGTGGCCCCATGGTGGGGGGGAGGGGGGCTCTTTTTCACTGGGGTCCTGCCCTGGGCCTCTGCTTGGCTGGCACGTGTTAGTTGGAGAGGAAAGGACAGAAGGTGAGTAAGCAGACAGGGAGGTGAGAATGACTCTCTGGCTTCCTCTTCCGTCACGGACAGATGCTCAGTCCACAGAGTTGCAGATCTCCTCCACCACGGCGTTGAAGATGTGTGGCTGGTCTGCGTAGACGTGATGTGATGCGCCCTCAATCTCCTGCAGAGAGGGACCATGGGCATGGGCACCGTTTCTCCCTGCTCTCACCCTCTCACCCTCTTGTCTGCCTTTTTGGAGTTGGGAATGGGGCCCCCCCTCCATCCCTCTCCTTGTGCTTCCGCTTTCCTGCCAGTCACGCCCACGAACTACCTCTGAGAGCCATTTAAGCCCATTAATGGCTATGATCCAGAGGCACAAATGAATCTTAGCAGAGAGCAGTGCAGTACAGAGACGCCTTCGGACCCCAAAATCACCCTATGAAGTAAGTTTAGTATTCGAGAAGAGTGCAGCTGCTTTTGCAGTCACGCAACATCTTGTATAATTATGCCACTGATATACCAAGAGTAGCACACCGCATTTGATGGGGTGTAAGAGTGAAGACAACCAATCTTGATAAAAAAAAAGTACATGTATATATATATATATATATATATATGTATATATATATATATATATATGCACACAAGACTTAAACTCTAACAAGTTAATGATCTCTAATACAGGGGCTTAAATGACTTCAAGATGAGATACAACAATTTTCACACACTTTCCTCTAAGAAAACCTCTTTGATCATTTTTAGTCAATTATTCATAACAAGCAATGCAAAATTAATTACTTAGCATCTGCTTTTTGGGCAGACTTGGGTGGTGGTAGAAAACCTCAAAATAATGGTGGTGGGAAGGTGTAATGGTGGTGGTGGGATTGGAGTTAAAACTGTGAAGAACTCCTTGAAAGAAAAAAAAAACCCTCTTCCCTGCCACATGGAGCACTCACCAGAAGAGCCATCCGCCTTCTGCCCTGGGAGTGGGTACTTTGCTGTGGGAGCCAATGAAGCCCAGCTCCCTGTTCGACTACTCTGCGGGCCATTTCCTCTCCTTCCTTGCACACCAGCCCCACCACTCCCTGCTTATTTCACCCGAAGGATCAGTAAACTGGGGGCCCCAGGGGATGCCCAGTCTTTTTTTTTCTTTCTGGGTCACACCTGGCAATGAAAAGGGGTTACTCCTGGATTTGCATTCAGGAATTACTCCTGGTGGTGCTCAGGGGACCATATGGGAGGCTGGGAATCAACCCTGGGTCGGCTGCATGCAAGGCAAATGCCCTACCCCCTATCTATCGCTATCGCTATCACTCCAGCCTGGGCTGCCCAGTCTTCACATCAAAAAGGCTCAGTAGCAATGAGGGCAGAGGAGGCTGTGGATAAAGGGAAGCAGGAGTGGGGGAAGGCGTGGTAATCTCCCCTATTCGCTCTGCTCTTCTTGGTTCTGGTCTTGGGTGGGAATTAGAGGGTGGTAGGAGTGGAAATTTGATGTTGTTGCCTAGCTGCTGAATCTGTTTTAGGATAGGATGGAGAGCCGAGACTTTCAAATCCACTACTCCGCCCCCCTCTAACCACACCCACCCTGAGTCTATTCATCCTTCCACACTCAGTTTATCCATTCCTCCCCTTCAGTCTATCCATCCCTCCACACTCAGTCTATACATTCCTCTCTCTTCAGTGTATCTGTCCATTCCCTCTCACTGTCTCCATCCCCCTTCTTCAGTCTATCTACTCCTCTACTCTGCCTCAGTTTTTATTCCTCCCCCTTCAATCTATCCATTACTTCCCACTCAACCTATCCATTCCTCTCCCTTCAATCTATCCATTCCTCTTCCCCCTCAGTTTATCCATTCCTTTCCCCTAAATCTCTCCACTCTTTTCCCCTCTGCCCCCCGCACCCACTCTCTGATCCCCATACTGCACATAATCCCACCAGGCTGGGACTTAGTCTGTGTGTGTATATTCAGATACAGCGTTTCTGCCTTGTCCTGTTTCTAGGCTGCCACGTACCATGTCTCGGACATAGGAATCCGGCCGCTGCAGCTTCACCTTCTTTCCCGTGCTGGTATCGATCCAGGTGTTGGCCCCATAGATCATGGTGATGGGCACATCTTTTCGAATCAAGTGAATTCGCTCCAACATGGGGCGCCGGGCCCAGCCGAAGGATTCCATCATGGCCTTGAATGCGGTCTCTCCGCTGGCAAGGCAAAATGAGGCACGGCAATGAACAGAATGAATGAACCCCACAGCAAAAATTTCAACTTCTCAGTGCATTTGAGAGGTTGGGAGCAGACCCTTTCTCCTCTTTGTGTCCCTCTAGTACCTCCAGCTCTGTGCTCATTAACTAATGCTAAGATGAAGAGATGGGATTGAATCTACAGAGGTCTCCAGTTATAAAAGTCAGTCAGAAGGACACACATGAGAAATGGCCCATGAACGCAATGGGCATCATTTATTCAACAGACACTCACATGCCCTGGGGGACATACAAACAAGCCAGAGGTGGGGCTTCCCTTCCCTGAGTTCACATAACAGGGAAGTCGGCAGGAACTAACTAATCATATGATAAATACCTCCAAGTTTTCCAAGAATTACAAAATGGTGGAGTTGTGGAAAGCCCAAACTTAGTCTCCTGGGGCTGGAGGTTGAAGCTGAGGAATTCATCAGAGATGAATTCTGAAAAGCAAGTAGTGTAGCACAAGAAAGAAGGCGTCCTGAGATGGGGGTGGGGAGCTAGCTTAGGTGGCAGAGCACATGTCTAGTATGTGGGGATTCTGCCCACAAACTCTAGTACCAGTAGGCGTAACTTTGGTGGACCCCAGCACAGGTAGAAGCGGCCACAGGCCCTCACCACCTCAATAACCACAGGGTGGGTCCCTGTTTCACAAAAGGGACTTCTGGAATAGTCTCTGGGAGGGGACATCAGTCTTCTGTACTATAGTGCTCTGCAGGAGAAGCCACAGCTGCTTCTCCTGGGCCATCTACTTAGGTAGAGCCCTAGAAGCCACATCATTTGGGATCACAAGGATAGTTGTCAACTTTCTAGACTGGTCCAGAGCTTCTGTAGAAGGCAGCAGAGGTGAGGGAAAACTGCTGCCTAGCAGGGCAGGTGTAGCCTGTTCAGTATTATATGGTCAGTCTGAGAAGGGGAGCCTGGCTCTGCACAGGCAGTTAGAAACAAAGAGTTGTCTTAAGATATTGCCGGGCAAGAATAGTTGAGATAAGTACCAGGAGATCTGTTCCATGATTTGGAAGTCAGCAGCACATGCTGGGGGAAAAGGCAGCTCAGACTGAGAAGGGAACACCAAGTAAAGGGTGTTTGGAGGATTCACTCGGGATGTGAGATGTGTGCTGAAAGTAGACTATAGATCGCACATGATGGTTATTTAACACCTCTATTGCAAACCACAACACCCTAAAGGAAAGAGAGAGCAAAACGGGGGGATACGGTGGAGGGGTGGGAGGGCTCCTGGGATCACTGATGGTGGAGAATGGGCACTGGTGGAGGGCTGGGTACTCGATCACTGTATAACTGAAACCCAAGTGTGAAAGTTTGTAAGTCTACAGCTGTACCTCATGGTGCTTCACTAATAATAATAAAAAAAAGGATGTTGGTGGGCACTGGAAAAATCATGACTCTGGAGTCAGACAGGAACTCTTTCCTGGCTATGTTTTCTTAGCAGGTCATGTAACCTGAACATTAAATTGGCTCTGAATCTCCTTTACTACAAATTGGGGAGATTCATACCCACATTCTCACAGATGACTGTGAGAAAAAGGGAAGTTAGTACAAAACCAATAAGTTTCAGTAAAGTGTGCTACCTCTGATCAAATGTCATGTTTCCCAAGGGAAGGTGAAGGGTTCTCCATGAGCTTGTCAGGGTTATCACTTAGAAACATTCAGAACGTTTGAAAAATTGAGTGCCTTGAGGGAAGAGGGAAGACAGGTGAGTGAATTCAGCAGAGTGGGGTCAGCTACATGCTGACAGATGGAAACTACAATTCTGGAGATGAACATAATATAGTATATGCAGATGTTGACTTAAAGGCTGTATCCTAAAACATATATAAAGATAAACATAAATTATTTCAGTTAAGGAAAAAAATGCAGAGGCACGGGGCTGGAGTGATAGCACAGTGGGTAGGGCATTTGCTGACCCAGGTTCGATTCCCAGCATCCCATAAGGTCCCCTGAGCACTGCCCAGGAGTAATTCCTGAGTGCAGAGCCAAGAGTAACCACTGTGATGCCCCCTAAAAAAAAAAAAAAAAGCAGAGACACTAGAGGAACAGCTCTGGGAGAGAGTGTAGGCTGTGCATGTGGGCACCCTGGGGTTCCATCCCTGGCACAAAATGGTCCTATGAGAATTGCTGGGTGTGGCCTCCAAACCAAAACACTGAGGGGCTGGAGAGGTGGCTCCTGCATGTTTTGCAGACTTGAGGACTGGGGTTCAATCCCTGGCAGTGGCTTGTCTCTCTGATGAGTGGCCCCCACAACAACTGAAAAACATACTAAAAGCCTTCCCAGACTGAATGATGTCTTGCACGAGGGGGTGGTTGTCACTGACGTTACCTCTGCGTTCTCTGGGAAACAAATGTGCTGCAAAATTATAAGTTCTGTGGCTTAGGCTGGGAGGCTATTTATTATACAGAATCAGGCCTGGGACTGGGGAACCCTTCGTGGCAATGAGCTCGGGCTGGGCCTGTGGGGCCTCAATGGGTCTGAGACTGGCACTGGGCCCGGTGGGGCAGAGAGAAGGGGTTGAGAGCGGGAAGCTGGGGGTATTGGTTTGATTGTTGAGCTGAGTTTCTATACTGTTGCTTAATAGGGGCCTTTCAATTAGCTGAGCTCATGTGAAATGTTGGATGGATAGTTCCCACGCTGTCCCAAAGCTGTTGGGGTGGGAGCCAAGGCTCAGACCACACTGCTGCGATACAGTCCCCACCTCGGGACAAAGCTGGATGGGCTGGCAAGGGAGGGGGCTGCTCCACCCACTCAGTGGCCTTGTTTCCCTTGAGATGTCTCCCAACAGCCCAGGGGGTGGTGCCACCAACTCAGGCCTGGTATCAGCCACTCACAGGGCACTGCCCCAGGGGAGATTACTCCCGACTGCCGGCTGTCAGCTGCCAAGATGCAGATCAGCAGGCTCAGGGGGGCCAGCATGAGGGGTCACGGATAAAAACTTCTTTCTCTCCCTTTCTTTCTTTCTTTTTATAGGAAAAAAAAATACCACATTTGCATTACCTTCTCACTTAAAAAAAAAAAGATCTTGCAAGCTGTGTTTTTCCCCCCAGACTTCTGCCTGTTGGGCCTAATGCCTTTCTCAAGGGAAGAAGAAGGGTCATTCTCCAGAGAGCACCTCACGTTTAATTAATCTATTATCCTCTCTATCCCTTTATGCCTATCCTTGGGGATCTCTCTGGAAATGATCAAGCCTGCTAATGCCTTTGTTCTCTTAATTGAATGAGAACTTTCTGGAAGCAGAAATGCAGCCTTGAACAACCTGAGGCCTCTTGGGAGCTTCTAGCAATTGAGTTTTTTTACCTCCCACCTCCCTCTGTCTTCCCTAAGCTGGTTCTGGGAGATGCCTCACCTGGGGTTCTGGGCATTGCAGTGGTAGATGTACTCCGATATGGTATCATCTTCAAAGAAATCTGCAAACTTGCGCTTGAAGTCCGGCCGGAATCGCTGTACCAGACCAGGCCCTGGGAGGGACAGAAAAACAGGGAGTGGCCAGTTGTGGGTAGGAAGTGGGGAGGGCTGGTGGGAGACGCCTGCCTAGCCTGGGTATGTCTGAACAATTCTGTTTTCTTGGGCTCACACCCAGTTGTGCTCAGGGTTCATTCCTGGTGGGCTTGGAGGACCACATGGCATGCCAGGAATCAAACCCAGGTCTGCTGTGTACAAGGAAACAACTTTACATGCTGTACTATCTCTCTGACCCCCAATAATAATAATGAATAGTTTTAGCCAAGCATAATCCCTCTTCCTTGGGCATGAGCTAATCCATGGAACATGACACAGCACCGGGAGTGCGTGAGGCGACCCAGAAGCCACAGGAGACTCTAAGTGATTCAGCCAAGCACTGCAAGGACCGAGGAGTGTAGACAGTCTCATCAGAGAAGCCAGGTTACTTTCCTCTCCCTGATGTTCGTAACCTTGATGTTCCTCCAAGGATCATAAGCCCCACAAAAGTCCACTGTGGAGATAATTTTCTTTGACAGCTCTTTCTCCCTGAGACCCTTCTGGACTTTTAACCTGAAGGTAGTGGATGAAACCAGACAACCTCCCAAGAGCCCTCTCATGTTCGGGGTTGTAAGGGAATCCAAGGACAGAGGTAAGCGGAACACTGGCCTCGGGCACAGATGGGGCTGTGCTGAGCTCGGTTGCTTCCTCCCCCTGGCGTTATGGCTCACAGACAAGTAGCAGGACGCACAGAACAGCTGTGCCAATGAAGCCTTGGGGCCCACTTCTGCTCTCTCTCGTGGTCTTCTCCATGCTGCGAGGAGCAGCAAGAGGCATGAGGGAAGAAACAAGCAGTGGCCAGGAAGCCCTGCCAGGCTCCCCTCCTCCAGGACTCCCACTGTATTGGCTCTTCTGTCCACGAAGGACCTTAGGCAGTTCAAGTACAGAAAGGGAAAGGCTAGTGACAGCAGGACCACTCAGTCCCTGGAGCCAGGCTTGGCCCTTTCTTCTCTGCCAGGCCTCAAGTCACTGATTCTCCTTCCCTTCTCCCCAACCATACCTTCTGCTCACATGCTCATGTTCTTCTTTTCTCCAGAGACAGGCTACTTCTCTCAAGGCACCAATAGATGACTCGTCCTTAGCCATGAGCAATGAGTCACTGGCTAGGGAACGTCACTATATAGACATCAGCCATCAAGGCCAAATGAAGAGGCCACAAACAGGCAAACAGAAGTGCACGAGCTAAGGGGTGGTTCAAAGGACTGGAGCAGAAGCTAGATATACAAGATCCCCAGACTGAATCCTTGGCACTCTATGGTCATTGCCAATCCACTCTATGGATTATGCATGGCTGAGAAAGGAATAGACTCCAGGGAAAAAAAGAAGGTGGCAGACCTTCTAGAACTCTGGATGGCTCCCCTGACCTCCTTCCCTCTCTTCACCTATGGAATTTGCTGACAGCTTTTTGTTTTGTTTGTTTTGGGGCCACATCTAGCGGGGCTGGGCTTGCTCTCTGTTCTTTGCTCAGGAGTCACTGCTGGCGGAATTTTGACCAGGGTCAGTCATATGCAAGGCAAGAACCTTACCTGCTGTACTACCTCTCTAGCCTCCTGCTAACAGTTATTACCTGGTGAGGATGTGAAGCCTCCCTGGGGAAAAGCATGGCTTAGAGGGCTGTTCTACATCTGCCAGAGACTCTGATTGCAATATCTTCTTTTATAGGAACTGGGAAAGTCACAGAGATGCAGTCTAGTGGTAGTGACTGCTGACTCACCAACGGTTTGCTACAAACTCACACATGCAGCCTAAGCTAACTTCAGCAGGGAAGAGTCAGTTCACCACCACCACCCCCCTCCCGCCCCCCCCCCCCCCCCCCCCGCCTCGGAGACTTGCCAAGGCACAGAATAGTAGTTCTGCTCCATCTGTCTCTTGCAAAGGGAGCTTTTCCCATCTAGTCAAAGGGGACAGGGCACCTTTGACAACAGGAGAGGCAGTCTGGGCTGGATCAATAGCTTTAAATAACTATGCCAGGTCCATTCCCACTTTTTATGAACAGGTGGTGAAGACAGGAATCCAGATGCAAGAGGGGTTTCTAGAATGGATTAGCCTTGGTTCAAAGACTTTCCTGACCTGCAGGCTACTCACCCCAGGGCCCCGCTACTCGAAGAACAGCCAGTGGATTGGAACGCCCTAGGACAGAGGCCACAGCCTTGACCCAGGTTGGGGGTGCACGGATCTCACTTGGGTCTGTCGGTCGGAGGGGAAAGCCCCATGGGTCCACCAGGATGAGGTGCTTAACTCTAAAGGAGCACAAAGGAGAAGGTCAAGTGCAGTCGCTTGCAGACCATTCCTCAAATCATCCAGAAGAGAAGGATCCTAAGCGAACACTGTCAGGATTCTGGTCACGAGTAAGAGGGCGTCTCCTTCTTACCTGTCTGGGTACTTGATGGAGTAAGAGGTGGCAAGGAATCCTCCCAAACTGTGGCCCAGGAGGATCATACTGGGGATCCCCATAGTCTCCCGCCACGTCTCTATTGAGGTCACAAACTCATCCTCGGCGCCCTCTGGGTCCCGTGGGAATGTCGGCCTTGAGCTTCGTCCAAAGCCGAGCAGATCAAAGGTGTGCAGGGTGCGTCGGGCACTCAGGGAATCCATGTTGAGGATCCAGAGGCCCACCCCACCCCCAAAACCATGCACCATCACCAGCGGAGTGCGCTCTCTGAGCTCTGGGCTCACGGTCACCGTCCAGATCTTGTTTTGGTTTGGGAGGGACACATACCGAGCCAGGAACTTGTTCTGGAGGCCTGCAGAGAGGGGAATGCCAGGCAGATCACTAAGCCGGTTCGGTATCAGCCACACCATATTTTTATTTCTTTCTTTCTTTTTTTTGTTTTTTTTTGGTCACACCCAGGGATGCACTGGGATTACTCCTGGATCTCAGGCATTACTACTGGAGGTGCTCAGGGTACCATATGGGATGCTGGGAATTGAACCCGGGTCAGCTGTGTGCAAGGTAAATGCTCTCCCCGCTGGACTATTGCTCTAGCCTCCTTGGTCATGTTTTTTTTTTTTTGTCTCTACTGCTCAGCATCTTCCACCCCCAAGTCCAATAGGACCTTTTCTCTCCACATACCACCCCCCGCCCCCACCCCTTGCTGACTATACTGCTGAAGAGTTCGCTGCCAAGTACAGTTTGTCAGTGGTCTGGTCAGCAGCTTATAAAAAGAGTCACTTTCTTTTTGGAGACCATTTGTGGGGCTCCCTTTGGGCCCAGGTGCAGTAGCCTCACTGACTCCCAAGTTCATGCATATTCATGGCGCCTGTACCTGTGCATGCTTGGGGCTTGACTGACGGACAAAAGTGTTCCCAGTGCAGGTGTCTGGGGGGGTAGCTTGGACTAGAGTAAAGACAGGTGGACAGGTAAACACGGATGAATTAAGATTCATAGTGGGGGATAAACTTGAGGTTATAATGGGATCCCCTGAGCCCCCAGCCCTGTCTCCATCAAGATGGCAAACACATTCTCAATCCCCAGTGGGCCCGCAGGAAAGCCTTCAAAACAGGGAGGCCACATGAGTTGCCTCTGCTGCTTGCATGAAGCAGTCATGTGACAAGGTAGCCTGGGAGAAACGGCCAAGACTCCCCTCCCCCAGGCCCATCAGGAGCTGTGCAGGCACCAGAGAACAGAGAAGAGCAGTGGGAAATGTAGGGACGCAGGGTGCAAGGTCCCTGTCCTGACCCATGGCACTGCTGCTCCCGGAATGCCTGGCTCTCACGTGACTAACTGCTCGTGAAAGCCAATCTAGGGGGCAATGCAAACTGCTGGGGTTAACAGACTAAGGGGGTAGAACATCACTGAACATAGAATGTTACTGGGGTAGAAAAATATAAGGGGCAATGATATCAGAGAATACAGGACTGTTTGCTGGTCCTTGGGTAGGAAGGTAGAAAACTGAAGAAGCATGCTTGGAAGAAGAGCGAGATTTAAGGAAGAGAGGAACAAAGAGAAGAAAGGACTTTGTGTGTGTGTGTGTGTGTGTGTGTGTGTGTGTGTGTGTGTGTGTATTGTGTGGAGACCTGCTGGGGTTTATGGTGAAATTGTGAGACATGGCAGGAACTCAGACGATGGGTTGTGAGATGCCAAGGAACTGAGAGTACAGAACATGGAATCCTTTGTGTAAATCTCTTCCTTCAAACCACTGGCATCCCTTCCTCTCGTCTCAAACATGCTGATCAGGAACTGGGGCTCTTTGTACCAGGCTCGGGAAAGTTCTGCCTTTCCTGAGGGAGGCAAGGCAGCTGTTCCTTCTACTTACATTGAAGAATTTTGGATTCCACGTTCTTCAGCTGAGACATGGATGTGGGGCGCCACGCTGGCAGCCAGCTACTCAGCCAGCCTTGAGGCCTGGGACAAAGAGATAGGACACACTCATTGGCAACACAGAAAGAAACAGGGAGACCCTCAGCCTGGGGGACTGACTATTCAAGACCAATCAAGGATGTGGACGTTTCCTATGAGAAGGACCCCTCCAGCTCAATTCCTCTCCACCTGCTACTCGTTCTTCTCCTGTGAGCTCAGCAACAACATGCCTTTGTTCCAGCAGAAACTCAGAGCACCGAGGGTACCACATTTCACTACACACAGAGCCCTTTCACATTTATTATATCATCTGAGCTTTTACAATTCTCTTTGGCTACTGGTTATCATCATGTTCAAGATTCCAAGGGGGAGAAAAGTCAACTTTTAGCCACTGTTGCCATTTCCAGGACTGGCTGTTCCTTTGAAGAGGGGCAGTACATCCCCTCAAGGGGGTTGAGTGTAAGTCCTTTCTCAGTCCCTGGAAACACAGGACACTCCCATCTGTCCCATTGGGGTTTCAGGAATTCAATCAGCTTAGCCTGGAACAAGGACACAGGAAGGGAAGTGGGAGGGCTGGGTTCAAGTCTTGCAGTAACTCACTGGTAGACCACAGGCTGCCTCTGGTCTCACTTCCCAGATTATAAAATGAATAGAGAGCTCATCTCTAATGGCATGCAGTAAAACAGATAAGATAAGCAGCCCGCATCCTTCAAACTCAGGGGACCTCTAAGACTCTGAAGTCACAGCAGGGTAGAGATTGAAAGCTCCCACTTAGGAATTAAAAACAGACCTGAAACTAAGTCTCTGCTTTTATCCTTTACAGGCTGAATGTCTTTGGATCTTAATTTACCTGCCTTTGAACTTCTCAATACATAAGGGAGTTTGTAAGGTGCCTGAGACAAGAAGATAATGAATGAGGTTTTATTATTTCTTTTACATTCCCAAGACAGTTCTTTTTAGGGTCAGGGAGATAGCTCAAAGGCAGCAGAGCATGCTTTGCATGCAGGAATTGGAGGTCTGTACCCCAGCACCTCCAGATGCCCTGAGCACTGCCAAATGTGGCTCTCAAACCAAAAAAGAAAATATTTCTCCTATCTTTAACTCAGCTTGGTCGAAGGCTTATTGGTTCATCATTTGCAGCACAGAATTTTTGACGACAATCTGTAGAAATCATCTCCTCTTGCCTCTTTTAGTTTATAGAGGAGCAAATAGTAGATGGCTAATGAGATCAGTTACTTCTAGGAACCAGTTCTCAAATCCCGGCATCTCTGCACATCTTTTCCTTAGATGATCCATGATCCAACCTCTGCTTTTCAACACCGTATACAAAAAAAAAAAAAGCGCAGAATTTAACCACATCTTGACATTCTCTCCCTTTTCTGAAGCGAGACAAGACCTAAAGCCAGATGCTAGAGTTTTAATCCTGGCGCTGCCACTTACCAGCAATGCGACTTTGGGAACATTATTAAGTTTTTTTCTGGGACAGAGTTAATTGGGGGGTAATAACTGTATCTATGTCATAGAGTAGTAATAGAGCTTTTGAGTCAATGCAGCCAGAACTCATGAAATACCTTGTACAAGATAAACTCCTAACACATTTCCTTTATCTCAGCTGAATTCCAACTGCCTACATTCCCAGTGTTTCATTAAGAAGCATCTCCAGGTGACAGAACAAGCTTTGAAAGCAGCTAAGAGCAGTACATCACTGAGAACTGTCAGTTTTGGTCACTCCGGTCACAGCGGTAGGGCGTTTGCCTTGCATGCAGCCAACATGGCCGACCCGAGTTCGATTCCTCGGCCCCTCTCGGAGAGCCCGGCAAGCTACCGAGAGTATTCGATATGCCAGACACAGTAACAACAAAGTCTCCAATGGAGACGTTACTGGGCCCGCTCGAGCAAATCGATGATCAACGGGAGGGCCTTTACTTTACTTTACTTTTTCTTTTTGAGCCACATCCGCTGTGGCTCAGGGGCTACTCCCAGCTCTGTGTTTGTGGAGGACCATGCAGTGGCCGGTGCTGGGGACTGAACCTGAGCTTCCTGCGTGCAACACATGCACTCAGCTCACAGAGCTCTCGCTGTGCCCCTTAATCAATCCAGTCTTAAGGAATCTCTATACCCTTTTACTATTGGACTGGAATTCCCTGGAGTCTTGAAGTATGAACACCAAGACCAAAAAGTTTTGCCAGTATGAACAGAAGGGTTCTCCCCCTGTCATAGAAACTGACAAATCAGAGTAGGATAGCTAGAAACCCCTCATCTCCTTATATCTTCCCTCAGCAGCGCTCAGGAGAAATGCAGTTCTGTGGGGCAGCCCCAGCGATGCAGAGCAGAGATCCCTCAAAGGGAGCTTTATACTTCTCTTCACCGAAAACGTTACAGACTAAGTGCAGGAAATAGCGGCAGGCACTCTGTTCATTACTGATGGGGAGGTAAAGGCTGGCGTGGGAAACGGAGGCAAGGAGTAGCTGAAGCCACAAAGCCATGAACTTAGTTGTGTCAGGAGCTCTCCTCTCATTGGGGCGCTTTTGTCCTGGGGTGAGGGTGGGTGGGAGCCGCAGGAAGGATTCGGTGCTGAGGGAGGAGCTGCTCTATGGATTCCCTTGATCTTGGCTTGACTTCTGACTTGCTACAAGCTCCACTGCTCGCATCTTCCCCCAGGCTCTGAGCTGTGTGGCTCTAGGTCCTGAGAACCACTTGTAAATTTCCTCTTGGAAAAGTCAGCTTAGAAAGCAACACTTTCCTAGACAGTTCCTCCCGGCGCTCCAGGAAGCTCCTAGGGCCCTGACTTTCACTTCTCTGGCAAGCCTCCCTCTTGTGCGGCTCTGAAAAGAGGGGTTGGGGTGGGGGCTCCAGGAAAGGGCCTGTTCTGGTGCAGCCCAAGCTCGGCTGGGAGCTGAGTCATTCTCGTCGCAGCAACTTTTCCCGAGTGCTATCTAAGCCTGCCAATCACACCACCTACAGGTGGCATCCGCGCCGATGCCAACCGAGACCAGCGCTCGCAAAGTCCCCAAAGTTCTCGCTCTGAAACCACAGCCTTAAGGAGGCTGCCGTTCGGATGGTGATGAAAGAACCCGACCGCAACTCGCGCCGCCAAAGTTTCCCGCTCGGGTCCGCGGAACCTGCAGGCGAGTCCCGCAAACGTAGCTGCGTCGGCTTGGCGCCCGGTGCTTCCCACCCCCCTCTCTCTCTTTCTCTCTCTTTCTCTTACTCTCTCTCTCCTCTTCCGCCCTCGGCGCCCGGCTCTTCCCACACACCCCCGACGTTGTCCCGGGGCAGATCCGGACAGGCAGAGCTGGCAGCTGCCTCCGCAGCCGCGTTGCTCAAGCGTGCCCGGGGGCCCTGGGGCAAACCCACCGAGGCTGAGCCCAGGTCCCGGAGCAATCGGACGGGTGCGGGGTGGGGGGTGGGCGGATCGCGAACACAGAGCAGAAGCGCAGAGCAGCAGGCGAGCCCCCAGGACCTGCGTCCACCTACCCCCACCCCCCCCCCACCACCTCCAGGCTGGGCCGCCGCCTCCTCCGGGCAAAGGCGTCCCCGGCCACCGCAGCCCCCCAGCCCGCCGCTGCAGCCGAGCCCCCCCACGGGCAGGGGAAGGGCAGGACTCTGCCACCGTGGTGCTCGGCCCGGAAAGAGAGAGCGAGAGAAAGAGCGAAGGGGAAGGATCAACTCACTGCTGCTCCAGATCATCAGCCATAGTAAACAAGCCCTGCCGGGTCGCGGCGAGCCGGCCCATCCCTCCTCCTGACGCCAGCACCAGCTGACCCGGGAAAGTGTCGGATAACAAAGTGGGGCGTGGCCAGCGCGGCGGGGCGGGGCGCGGAGCGGCTGGGACCTGCGGCGGCGGGGACCTCCGGCGGCGGGCCGGTGGTCCTGGCGCGCACGTGGGATCTCAGCCTTGTAGAAAACTACCGGGCTCCCTCCCACTCCCGCCTCTGCAGAGACTGAACTATCCCTGCACACACTCTCGGGGTGGGGTGGGCTTCCCTGTTTTACTTCCCTCCCCGCCCCTCCACTCTCCTCCCCCCAGGTGTCCTTCCAATCCCGGGAGTCCTCATGCGTGGCCGCTGGATCCCACACAGGGCCTGGGGCTGATACCGCTCCTGGATGGCCAGATTTCACAACTGAGAAACAGGGACGCCTCATTAAAGCCGGAGTTGAGATAAACAACAAATACCTTTTTATAGTACGTAGGTCCCATCCAACATCCGGGACAGGACTGGGCATCTTGTATTTTTTCTGGCAACCCTAAAACTAAGTGACTCTTGCCAAGGTGCATTCCTTTGCTGCGGTGATTTTTCAACCTAGTCGAAGACAGAGTTCAAGCCCAGGGCTCGCTCAGTTTGGATTATCTGTACTTCCCCTTTGTTCAAGGAGAAGGCAGGTGGGTCTGGGTGGGCTCGAATGGGGTGTGGAACCGGGTGTGAGAGGCGGCTGGGCTGGTTTATCTCAGAGGTCCTGCACTGTGCTTTGTAGTTAGTTGACCTAAACTGATAAACAGGATGGGATGTTCCCAGCTCTGCCACCTTGGATAGGGTAAGATTAGGTCAGGTAGAGGGTGTGTCAAAGTGGTTCTTGTTGTTTTGTAGCTGCCTTGCAACATTCAGGAGACTGAGATTTCTTTTTTCTAAGACAACATCTGTGTATCATCTCAAGGAGTAACATTTTAATAGAATGGGTGTTAATTTTTCAATGCTTAGGGTCACTCCTGAGGATTGAACTGGGGTTGACTGCATGTAAGGCAATTGTTTTAACCTTGCACTATCTCTGGCCCTAGAATAGGCATTTAAAGAGCTCTATCAGGCAAGGGATAAGTAACATTCACTTAAAAGATAGATACTGGATATGTAACATTGTATTATTTTCAACATAATTATTAGACATTTGTTACATTGTGAAATGATCAAGTCTTTTTAACATCACCAAAGTCAAGTTAGTTCCAAAGTTCTTTTTATTGGAATGAGAACGTTTAAGATTTATTCCTTAACAATTTTCAAATTTGCAGCAGAACATTATTAATTATTATTAATTAGTGTCAGCATGCTGTGTATTAGAGTCCCACTCTTTGGGGGGGATTCCCATGGGATGTAAGGAGGGCTGGAGGTCCCACCTGTGTTCTTGGCCAGCGAGTCCTGTGGTCCAAGGCAAGGAGGCTGTGCTGCGTGGGCCCCAGGTGCCCTGGGGATGGTGAGGACATGGGGGTCAGGTTGAGGGGTGGTGTCAAGGACTTCAGAGAAACACTCTGCCATGCCCAGGGGACCTTTTGGTGCTGGAGATGGAGTTTGGAACAAGTGCATGCACCCTAATCTTCTCCCCATGACTTTTTTTTTCTTTTTGGGTCACACCCGGCAATGCTCAGGGGTTACTCCTGGCTCATACACTCAGGAATTACCCTTGGCGGCGCTCAGGGGACCATATGGGATGTTGGGAATCGAACGTGGATCGGCCGCGTGTAAAGCAAATGCCCTACTCACTGTGCTATTGCTCCAGCTCCATGACTTGTTTTATAAAATTAAAGTTTATACTTTTTTTTTATTTTCCCCCTCCCCAATACATAAATTTACACACATCTCTGTGAACCATCAATTTCTGTGTTTATGATTTTGGTTTTCCTCTTATTGTTGTTCATTTATTATTATGTATGTAAATGAGATCATGTGGTATACTTGTGAGGTATTAGACTTTCTCTGACTTAATATAATCTTCTTAAGGTTCATCCATGTTGTTATAAATGGCAGGATTTCCTTATTATGACTGAATAATATTTTCTTTCATTTGTAGAAATAGGTGTTCAAGGCAGACCAAACAATTTATTTATTTATTTATTTATTTATTAAAAATTTTTTAATAGTGAGACATCATGAGGTACAGTTGCAGACTTACACATTTTTGTGCCTGGGTTTCAATTATACAATGATCAAACACCCATCCCTCCACCAGTGCCTTTCCCACCACCATGGGTCCCAGTATCCCTCCCACCCCCCATGCCCCCTATCCCACCCTGTCTCTGTGGCAGGGCATTCCCCTCTGTTCTCTCTCTTCTTTTGGGTGTTGTGGTTTGCAAAAGAAACATTGAGTGGTAATCATGTTTGAGGACCAAACAATTTAATCATGTGTTAAACTTCCATCTTTCTGATTTTTTTTGGCAGGAGTAGACCACATACAGTAGTGCTAAGGGCTTAATCCTGGCTCTGCACTCAGGGATTACTCTTAGTGGTGCTTGGGGGATCATATGGAGTGCTGGGGATTGAACCTGGGTCAGCCTGCAAGGATGTACCATCTTTACCGAATTTGTATCTTTTAAAAACTATAGGGACTAGAAAGGTAGTACAGCAGGTAGGGTGCTTGCTAACCTGGGTTTGATCCCTGGCATCCCATTATGATCCCCTGAGCACTGCTAGGGATAATTCCTGAGTGCAGACTCAGCTGAGCTTTGCTAGGTCTGGTCCCAATAACCACAACAACAACAACAACTCAAACAAAAACCTTATTTGCTGAGTGATGAGAGCCTACCTATGTAGACAAGGCGTTTCCAAAGAAATGTGCATATATATAATATAAATTATATATATATATAACAATATTGTATACTTTTGGGGCTGGAGCAATAGCACAGCGGTAGGGTGTTTGCCTTGCACGCAGCCAGCCTGGCCAAGCCGGGTTTGATTCCTCTGCCTCTCTCAGAGAGAGAGTATCTCGCCTAGCAAGCTACTCATGACATATTTGATATGCCAAACACAGTAACAAGTCTCAAAATGGAGACATTACTGGGCCCGCTCGAGCAAAATCGATTGTATACTTTTATATCTATAATGCGAATTATATTTAAATAATATAACATTTAAATGCCTAAGCAATTTGGCAGCTGAGTTTGTGTTCTCTGATTTGCAAACTTAGCACCCCATCATTTTATATTAGCCTCCTCTTTTTTTTATTTTTGGGTCACACCTGACAATACACAGGGGTACTCCTGGCTCATCCACTCAGAAATTACCCCTGGCGGTGCTCAGGAGGACCAGATGGAATGCTGGGAATTGAACCTGAGTCGGCTGTGTGCAAGGCAAATAAACGCCCTACCTGCTATGCAGCCCCTATATTAGCTTCCTCTTATTCTTCTTAGTGGGCACTCTTTCTCCTTCTTCTTCTCCTTCTTCTGCTGCCATGTCCTCCTCCTATCCCTTCCTTCTTCACCAGGTTGTTGTCATGATGATGGCACCAACAAGACTGGATGTGGTGGTGCTTGCAGACTGTGTTCTTCAGGGGGTTCACTCATCAAGCTGTGATGCTCAAAAGCCCAGCATTGGTGCTGGTGAGGGTTACATGTCTATGCTTGCCCATGTGCTTGCTGGAAGCCACACTCTTCAGTGGTGGGACTCATACACAATCTGGTAGCTGGGGTCAGTGCTGTGCTCATCCATGTGACCCGTACGATCTGGCTGGGGTGCTCGCTCATCTTTTAGTTGTTGTGATTACTGGGTATTGCATCTTTCTGTTGTGCACCTCTCTGCATGTGGTGTGACCGGGAATCATGTGTGGTGCTAGTGGAAGGGGCCACAGGGACCAGAGCTGCTCAATGGATGTTTAGTGCTATGGGGTAGTTATGAGGAACCTCTGGCAATGGGTTTGGGGGAAGATGTGACTTAAGGAAGTTTCCCTGTAGTCTATTTTTTTTTCTTTTTTGGAGTGAGGTCACATGGTCTGCCCTGTAGTCTTAAAGCAGCCAAGTTCTAACCTTTTTAGTCAATTCCCCAGGGATGTTGAGGAAGGTTAAGCAGAAGGATGGAGAGTCAGAGAATGGTACAGCAGGTAGGATGCTTGCCTTGCATGGGACCGTCCTGGGTTCAATCCCCAGTAACCCAGATGGTACCCCGAGCACCCCAGGAGTGATCTCTGAGCACAGAGCCAGGAGTAAGCCTTGAGCATCTTTCTCTGCTACTACTTCCCTATTGCCCACTTTTCTCACTTACATCTTTTTGGGGAACCACCCAAATCACCTACATCAGAAGCAGACGAGATGGAACTTGCAGTGTTATACTTGTGAGGCAGGAGAAGTTCCAGGACCTATTGACAACCTCATTCTCACATCTTTCACTGAAGCCATCCTAAATGCCAATGTATGCAGGAATCACATGGGGCCCCAGGTTTGATCCCCAATACCACCTGTTCTCCAAGCACTGTTGGGTGAGTGACCACTGTGCTAGTAGTAGACCCTACTCAGATGTCAGCCGACCCATTAACAAAAAAAAAAAAAACAGCATTTGCAGGGAATGGGTGTGTGTGGTAGTATTCCAGTTCTTACTCTCTGAGATTTTAGTTGTTGGTTTAGCTTAATGCTAAAAACTGAATTTTGGAAAGCACCTGAGATGATGCGGTTCAGGTGCTGAGATTCGCTGGTTCACTAAAAGCTTGGCTTCTGGGCTAGCAGTTTAGATGGAGGTCAGTCTTTTTTTCTTTTTGGGTCACACCTGGCGATGCACAGGGTTTACTCCTGGATATGCACTCAGGGAATTAACCCTGGCGGTGCTCGGGGGACCATATGTGATACTGGGAATCGAACCCAGGTCGGCCGCATGCAAGGCAAACGCCCTACCCGCTGTGCTATTGCTCCAGTCCTGGGTGGAGGTCAGTCTTGACGTTGCTACTTACCCACCACACACTCTAGCGCAAGTTATTTAGCATCTTTTATTTTCTCCCCACTGGCTGGTGTCTTCTCGGATTAACCAAGATAATTAAGTAAATAGTATATTCATTTCTGC